CACCACTGGGGTTTGTGGTTGACCAGGTGTTGTAATTAATCATAAATGAAAAGATATTGCTGACTTTTTTGTAGTGTGAGCTGTAGGACAACATATCTAATGTCTGGTGAGGATAATCATAATATACTAAAATCCCCAGAAGAAAAATAAGGTTAACAAGTTATAAAGAGTATGCTAAATTTGATAATAAGGGACTGTAACAGACAGGATTTCTTGTGCACAACTAAGCACTCACCAAAAGACAAAAGAGGTTGAAACACCCTACCTACAGATCAACTTCATCAGAGACATCAAATTGATAACAAACCTTGGCCCGTGGAGTACTATTACAAACTATGTAAAATTTACAATGCTAATATAAAATGTACAGGTTTGTAAGTTTATATATATATATATATATATATATATATATATATATATATATATATATATATATATATACATACATATATATACACACACACACACACACACACACACACACATATACATACACACACACACACACATACAGTGCCTTGCGAAAGTATTCGGCCCCCTTGAACTTTTTGACCTTTTGCCACATTTCAGGCTTCAAACATAAAGATTTAAAACTGTAATTTTTTGTGAAGAATCAACAACAAGTGGGACACAATTATGAAGTGGAATGAAATTTATTGGATATTTCAAACCTTTTTAATAAATAAAAAACTGAAAAATGCGGCGTGCAAAATTATTCAGCCCCTTTACTTTCAGTGCAGCAAACTCTCTCCAGAAGTTCAGTGAGGATCTCTGAATGACCCAGTGTTGACCTAAATGACTAATGATAAAAAATAGAATCCACCTGTGTGAAATCAAGTCTCCGTATAAATGCACCTGCACTGTGACAGTTTCAGAGGTCCGTTTAAAGCGCAGAGAGCATCATGAAGAACAAGGAACACACCAGGCAGGTCCGAGATACTGTTGTGGAGAAGTTTAAAGCCGGATTTGGATACAAAAAGATTTCCCAAGCTTTAAACATCCCAAGGAGCACTGTGCAAGCGATAATATTGAAATGGAAGGAGTATCAGACCACTGCAAATCTACAAAGACCCGGCCGTCCCTCTAAACTTTCAGCTCATACAAGGAGAAGACTGATCAGAGATGCAGCCAAGAGGCCCATGATCACTCTGGATGAACTGCAGAGATCTACAGCTGAGGTGGGAGACTCTGTCCATAGGACAACAATCAGTCGTATACTGCACAAATCTGGCCTTTATGGAAGAGTGGCAAGAAGAAAGCCATTTCTTAAAGACATCCATAAAAAGTCTTGTTTAAAGTTTGCCACAAGCCACCTGGGAGACACACCAAACATGGGGAAGAAGGTGCTCTGGTCAGATGAAACCAAAATCGAACTTTTTGGCAACAATGCAAAACGTTATGTTTGGGGTAAAGGCAACACAGCTCATCACCCTGAACACACCATCCCCACTGTCAAACATGGTGGTGGCAGCATCATGGTTTGGGCCTGCTTTTCTTCAGCAGGGACAGGGAAGATGGTTAAAATTGATGGGAAGATGGATGGAGCCAAATACAGGACCATTCTGGAAGAAAACCTGATGGAGTCTGCAAAAGACCTGAGACTGGGACGGAGATTTGTCTTCCAACAAGACAATGATCCAAAACATAAAGCAAAATCTACACTGAAATGGTTCACAAATAAACATATCCAGGTGTTAGAATGGCCAAGTCAAAGTCCAGACCTGAATCCAATCGAGAATCTGTGGAAAGAACTGAAAACCGCTGTTCACAAACGCTCTCCATCCAACCTCACTGAGCTCGAGCTGTTTTGCAAGGAGGAATGGGCAAAAATTTCAGTCTCTCGATGTGCAAAACTGATAGAGACGTACCCCAAGTGACTTACAGCTGTAATCGCAGCAAAAGGTGGAGCTACAAAGTATTAACTTAAGGGGGCTGAATAATTTTGCACGCCCAATTTTTCAGTTTTTTATTTGTTAAAAAAGTTTGAAATATCCAATAAATTTCGTTCCACTTCATGATTGTGTCCCACTTGTTGTTGGTTCTTCACAAAAAATTACAGTTTTATATCTTTCTGTTTGAAGCCTGCAATGTGGCAAAAGGTCGAAAAGTTCAAGGGGGCCGAATACCTTCGCAAGGCACTGTACATACATACATACATACATATATACACACACACACACAATATATATATAATAGTGACATTGCTAACTGACTTCAAGTGCTACATTTTCCTAGTAGTTGCTCGTATACAGCATGCATTTCCTTAAGTGGTATTTTGATAAAATTAGGACATCAGAACATTTCCTTGGGCTCTTGGCAAGCTTGGTGAACCATTCCATTGCATCTGACAGTCTGTATAGAGTTATTTTTTCTGGGGCTACCCCATGCAGTTTATGCAAACTGCATGGGGTAGTTCAGTATCAAAATGGTGATATACTGTGACAAATATTTGTTAAGTGTACTGAAGACTCTCTGAGGTGTTTCTAGAAACACCCCTTCTCTGTGTACAGTAGATGTGCAGGTTAGTGTGAGTGTATGTCAGTGTGTTTCCATGTTAAACAAAGCCTCACATCTTTCTCCGTCCCCCCCTCTTTTACACAGATCCACCATGATTTCCATTTACCACGCTGACATAAAAACCCTGAACCCCAGAGGATGTGACCCCCAGAGACCTCCAATGAAAGCATGAAGGAGTGAAGTTGACGGATTGTGGCAGATCACACCCTTGACAATGTGTATTTGTTGTCTTTAGGATTGGTGACAGTGGGGCTGTTTGTCAACGGCTGCCATTACTGTCAGTCTCCACTCAGGCTGTGAGGGCTTCCACAGCCAGCAGCTACACTCAAAAGTTAATAGTCATCTGCAGGAAGACAGAAAAGCTGTGTGCGTCAGTGTCATGCCTCTCTCCAAGTCTGCCTTTCACTATGAATATGCATCTATAGGAGAGTGTGTATGTGTGTGTGTGTTTATGCCATGAGTGAGAAACATAGTAGCTGAAAACTGAAGGTTTCCTTTGAAGTGTGGGTGAAATTAACCTAAATGTGAATTGTTTATGGCCTCAAAACTGGCAGCGATCGAGATGTTGCTGAGCTAGAAGATAAAAGCACATCATAAACACTCTGTTAGTGTATTTTAGCCCTATTATAAAGTGGGGCTTCACCCCAGTGGAATAAATGTGTGTACAACTTCTGGCTTGATAACATCCATTCCCACACAACGGTGTGTTGTTCAAAGGTACTGGGGGCATCATGTGCACTATGCCACAGATGTCAAATACAGTCAGGATTTGTGTATTTGTTTTCTTAGCAAGAAACGTGAAATAAACAAGTGTTGACACCCTGTCATAAGAGGCAGTGAATTGGTGTAATTATTGCCGAGCGTCAACAGCAGGGGTATTCAATTAAAATTCAAAAAGGTCCAGTTTGAGAAAATTTGCCGAAAACGTCCGGAACATCCTAACGACTAACTTGAGTCATCATTCAGGCGTCATAACATATAGTTGTATCAACATTTGGTTTTAGGCAACAACTGACTGTCAAATCAAATAATATAGTAATAATAATAACAATATACTGTCAAAACTGAAGGCTGCATTAAAAAAAATACACATGGTCATGTTTTTTAAAAATATGCATCTTAAAATAAAGCGCTTTATTTCAGAAAGAAATTAAATAAAAAGTGTAGCTTATAGTGACTGAAGTGTAGTGTCTCAAACTATTTTATAATAAACACTCAATGCATCTTAACAATAAACAGGTGTAATACCTCCTCTTCTCTTTCATTCCCTCTTAGCAACCACTTCCCTACTTTCTCTTGTTCAGTGGAAAACGTGAGCTCTAGCTTGTCCTTCTAGCTAGGATCGTATTTTCTGTTCCTTCAGTTCAGATTTGAGTGGGTATGTTTGCTCAAATGAGTGCTTTGTCTCATAGTAGTGCTTCACATTGCTTTTAATCGTGACAGTCTCGGATCATATGAGATATTCTGGTTTTGAACCTCCTGTGGGAAGAATGTACATGTAAGAACCTGTTCATACTTGATTAAAATCCATGTGTAATTCTCTTTTCTCTTCCGTCTCCTCTGTCCCTGTGTGTAGCCCCATCTCAACTTGCAATGTTTATCGCAATGCACAGATCTGATTGGCTGAGCAGCATCACATGAGAGATTTGGAACACATGCAACTGGTCTGTGAGTCTCCTGTGCCACTGACCAGTACAGTAAATTCTAAAAAAAAGCTGTGCGGGTTAAAAAAGAAACACTCCATCACGAGGTTGTAATTCTCAATAATAGATCTGTTGTAGGTCGGTGGCTGGGTCCGGATCCAGACCGCGGTCTGCCTATTAGTGACCTCTGGTCTACAGTATGATGTTGACAGTCATAATGACATACTCAAGTTTGTAAGCTTTGTGTAATTACACTATTATGTAAACCAGTTTTTTTACAGCTGGTGGAAAACATGACTGTGTGGTGGCCTAGAAATGAATTTTCTCAACAAAACCACTGACAAACTAGACCACACAAAACTTGGCCCGGTGGGCAAGCCCTTCAGCATCCACTCAATCCCAACAGAACTGGCAACCCTCAGTTGTTCCCGATCCGGTCATTAAAGACCCACTCAATGAAAGGGCCATAGCCTCTTTCTTCAACTCCTCCTCTCTTCTCTTTATCACATTTAATGCCCCACAGAGACCTTTTGGAGAGGCAGAGAATCCCATCAGTCGGTAACACAGCGTGGCGAGTGGTCACACAGGAAGCTTTTGATTCCTGCTGGAATGTCCCGAGCTTTTAAAAACTGTCAAACTCAGTGGACACAGTGTTCGTGTTGAAGCAGAATAGCACCGCTTAAAATCAATCCAGTACGCAAGTCCACTGCTGAAAACTTCATTATGTTAATGCAGTGGTTGCCCATGGGTTGAAGTGAGACTTTAAAGTAAATTACAGGATAAAAGGTAAATGATAAGAATACAAACTGTCCATCTAGAGGAGAAGAATGAGTTTCTTACAGAGTTTAGGTCCAGGCTGGTCTGCACCCACTCCTTCGCATCGTTATATTCTTCCATCAATCCCATAATATATAGTGTGTCCAGTGAGTCAATGATGGAGGCTCCTCTCAGGCCACCTGCAAAATACATAAGATAGATGAGTTAGAGATGCATTGCTCAAGAAAATGCTTTGTTGAATATTATTTATTAGAAATAACCCCTTGAGATGTATCATCTCGTCTTCACAGGGGTCCTCATCAGTATAAGCACAATTAGACAAAACATTTAACAAGATTATTAACGATAGCAAACGTGGCAAAAAATTTACAAAAAAATGCAATAAATATCAAATGAACACTGAACAGATGGTTTATAATGGTTTATTGTCAGCAAATATATTTACATTTAAAATGTGATTTATGTGTCTACAACTATAACTTTTCATATGAAACATCACAACAACATGTTTGTGTCACATGTAAAAACATGAATTTCACATGTGCTTTTTTGTAAATCCGTTATAATGCAGTATAACATCTCTGTAATAATACAGAGTGAAATATGCTCACTGGTTGACATGTTGATAAAACATTACATGAACAAATGAAGAGTTATACTAGTTGACAAATTAATTACATAATTATGTGTTCAATAGTAAAGGCAGAATTTATGTTCTCACATAGGTTATATTTTGAAATATCTGAAAATCAAGTAAAGTTTATCAGCTAGTTATGAATGCTAAATGTCGAACTTTAAAAAAAAAAGAAAAATTAAGATAAGTGCATGAGGTATAGAAAGTAAAATTTTTAAAAAGAAACAGTGTCCATCACTTGTCAAACTGCAACAGGCAACCGTTGACTGGCAAGGAATCCTGGAAACTGGTCATAACATGACTTTAATCTATTTTGTGAAAGTTGCTAAGAGAGTGTGTTTCAGTGGGGTTTCCTTTATAGAAAATATCCTTAAAGCTAAAACCAGATTTGCCTTTACATCAAAATTGAGAAGAATTTTAGCTTAGATTTATAAAAAGAAAAGAACGTAATGAGAACAGTGAATAGCTGACAATTGATTAGTTCTTGGAAGGTAGATTAGTACTCGAATTTAACCCCAAACCTTTAATGTTTTGATTAGCAACAGCATCTTGACATCGTCTGTGATACAAAGTAAATCATTAAAGTCCCTCACATGCTGAGCTTCTTTAATTGCTGCAATGATGTTGAATGATAATACTAAAACCGCTTTGTGTGTTCCAGATAAAAAGCATCTTCCCTACGAGATTAAAGGCATCAGCTACAAAGCATCAGTCACTGTGCTGTAACATGAAAGTGAAGTCATTTAGGAATCAACCACCAGAGGGGAAAAAAAGAACGGATACATTCGATTATAACAAACATTTAGCAGCTGCTCCTGGATTACACTCAGTGTATATGTTCCCTCTGTTAACCCAGTGTGTAAAATCTGTGTGTGTACATTTACTCTGTGTGTATGAGTGTCTTTATGAATCTCATTTGAAGCTATTCATTTCTTTTTGCAAAATAAATGAGAAATGCCAAGGGGTGTTTATTCCATCCTGGTGGCCTTGTGAGAAATTGCATGGACTATTTTCATTATCATATGACCAAATATTATGCAAATGCAGCTGAACCTCACAGAGACAGCATGGCACATAAGAAAAATAAACATTATCCTTAATGAATTATGCTAAAATTGTTGAAGGGCAAACTGTGGTTTGGAAGTTTAATAAAAAGAAACTGACTAAATAGACTGTGAATCAAACTGCTCAGGGGCTCACACTGCAGATAACTAGAAAAATGCAATAGCGTGAAAAGTGACCTGGTTAAATGAGAGAAGTGATGAAAAATCATTCTGTTCATCCCTGAGAACTACGTAGCTTACAGTAGAAGGGTGGATTGATCTGATGCAACGCAACAGCAACCTGGCACATCAAAGTCTTCAGTTTTTATCAGGAGTTATTGTTGAAGCTCACCAAATTTGCAAATGGTAACCATACCTTTGGGCGACAAAACATAAATCTGGAAAATTAAACTCGCTTGCAGGAGCCTGCTTTTTTGTTTCACAAAATGATGTACAATGAGGCTGCAACTAACTATTATTTTTTGTTTTATCACCTAAATATCTTAAAATGTCAGAAAATAGTGAAAAAATGGCCTCATGTTCCCAAAGCCCAATGTGAAATCTTCACCTTGCTTGTTTTTTCAATCATCCGTCCAAATTCCAATGATATTTAATTAAAAACAGATTAAACTGATTTACTGAACAGTAAATTCCATGCAGGTTTCCATGAACAACTGCACTCTTTTCACCCTCTAAAGGATTTTAATTCTTAATCAGTATCCACTCTACAAGCCGTGCTGTATATCCACTGTATAGCTCACCACCACAGACCTCATCTCGATAGCTTACGAGGTCAGCCAGTAAAACCAAAGGGCACGTTGAACAGGAATCAATGACTTGGCTTGACAGTGATTGATTGGTGTCATATGCTTTGGCCATAATACCAGTACTATTAATAGTATCAGATGCAGAGAAACACAGTTTGAAGCTTTCTACATAGTGCAAATCACTTGTAAAGCCACATTACTATAAAGTAATTTATTCTCATTAGCCTTTTCTTATTTTGTTATCCAAGAACATACCAAGGTTGTAGTCCTGACAAGGTTTTCCTGCCATGGCCTTAAAAATTCAGTTCATATTGACTACACATCCCCACAATTTGAAAGCTCGTCTGCTGTGCCTGCTGGCAGTTCACCTCAAATTGTCACTGAGAGGGCAGTGCTAGCCTGAAGCAAGGCACATGTAGTCTCTACATTACATTACTCTAGAAGACCATCTGCCGAGGTTGTTTGCCATGTCCTAGTGCATACTGTATGTATGCCGTGTCAGAAAAACTTCCTGCTTCCACTAAAGTTACAAAGGGAAGAAAACAGAACAACAGATTTCAGACATAACTCAAACTTTGACTATTATTTGGGAAATGAGTTTTTTTTTTGTTTGCTTACTGAACAGCCTTATCTCTATTTGATGACAAATAGTGATGGTGACAGCTGAGATGAGGGGTGTAGTCAGATATCTAATGCACTCTGGTTATCCAATCCCAGAGGCAGCTCTCGTGGCTGCAGGCAAAGCAACAAAGTGTGGAAAATTTCTATTGAAAACAGCACCAAAGCTAAGATGATTGATTGACTCTGAGGATAGACGGAGCAGATCAATCCATCATGGTGTACTCCTTCTACTTCCATGGTCTAAGACCCTATTTATTTCTGTAGCCCTTTGCTACAAATTGAAGGAGCCTTGAGGGATCATCTGAAGACAGGGGCCATAGGTGTGTTTGCTATTGTGCACTTATAAAGACTGAACACCATACACAAACTAAATAAATTTTAAGCCAATTAAAATTTTATAATTGTATGCCCATCTCTTAGAGGGATACTGTGTTTTTGGTTTCAAGAGCTTTATCATTTTAGTTTATAATGTACTCACAAGTCTCTCCGGGTGCTCCGGCTTCCTCCCACCATCCAAAGACATGCAGGCTAGGTTAATTGGTGTCTCTAAAATTGTCCTTAGGTGTGAATGTGAGCGTGAGTGGCTGTTCATCTATGTGTGGCCCTGCGATGGACTGACGACCTGTCCAGGGTGTACGCCGCCTTTCGTCTGATGTAAGCTGGGATTGGCACCAGCCCCCCGCGACCCTGTACGGAGGATGAGCGGTCGACGATGGATGGATGGATGTACTCACAAGTTTTAATTTGAAAATATTGCGCAGTAGTATTCGGATTAAATAAATGTTAAAATTAAGGCTGCAACTAATGATTATTGTCACTGATGATTCAGTGTGGTTTTTCCTGATTAATCAACTAATTGTTTAGTCTATAAAATGTCAAAACAACAAGTAAAAAATGCTGATCAAGGTGATGTATTCACAGTGCTTGCTTTAAAAGTGGCCTACAGTCCAACAATATTCAGTTTACAATTTCTATAAAACAGATCTGGAAATCTTCACATTTAAGAGACTGGAACCAACCCACATGACTTAAATAATTATCAAGTATATAATGTTTACATTTTCTGTAGATTGACGAATTGATAGTTCAGCACTAGGCTGAATGTTATATTTAAAAATAATAAACATTCTCATATGCATGGTCTAATAAACCAAAGACCTGTAATTCTGATGTTGTAGGAGGCTTACAGAAGGGCAGACATGACAGAAAACAGTAATTACCTAATAATAATAACACATTACCTGACCTCTGTTAAACATGAGCTTGTTACATTGATTTAATTTTATAAGCGTGCAGGAATACACTTGCATGCACGTCCTTTGTGCACCAGTATTAGAATGTACAAATTAAGTGTACACGTGTGTGTGTGTGTGTGTGTGTGTGTGTGTGTAAGCACGCAGAGTACAAGGAAAGCCATTAGTGAGACATTGGCCAACGGATGTTCATTTATCACGGCTGTCACAGGCCAGTCAGTGTCGGTCAGGGGGGTTACATTAGACGGCTGGAGTCCACATGATCAATCACTCGCTGCAGCCCGTTTGTGTGTTTTGATATTACTGGCCTTGCTCTCTCTTCATCTCTTTTTCTCTAAACGTACACACATATATACACATGCGACTGATATATGTATCAGGATAAACCACTCCTTTATTTAATCCCTTAGGGGATAGCTCAGCGGCAACATTTCTGCTCTAATTTAATTTACCCAGCATACACTATACGATGGGCATGCAAAATATATGCTGATATTCCTGAATGCCATCCGATGTTCATTGTAAATTCCATTGACTAAGTACATTAAACGTGCAATATACTTAACCAGATAAGAATAATTAGATTTCAGAGACTGACTGTTTTAATACAGCCATGGGAAAACAGGAGTTAAATCAGAGCTATAGTACATTTCTCATTTTAGCTTGTGAGCCATGGCACAAACAGCCAAAGGAATAAAATATTAAAGATGTGGTCAATAAGTCACCCTGTTAACGTCATCGAATAGAATCTGATTAATGCAGCCGCTGGTAGTTACATTAATTACACTGACCTGTTACCAGTGGTATCCAAATATCAAATCGCCAGAGCAATGAGCATCTTGTTAGTACTAATACTGCCTG